CTCAAATATGCAAAAAAAAACTTTTGCCATTATTACACCTGTTTCATGATTCGTAAAGATTTCAAACCCGCGTCTGACTGCATAGACTCATAAAAATTATGCAAAAGAACATAATTCCGTTCTCTATTTATATATAATATAAGTTTTAAAACTATAATACCAAAGGACACAAAATAAAAATAATATTTCATATACCTCTAGGTATTATATTATTWTACATACTTATGAATCATACTTAATTTGCTAATAGAATAGCAATGAATAATTAATAAGAAAATAAAGTTGAATTTTTTAAATAATAAAAAAACAACTCATTTTTATTATTTGCCTGACTTGAAATAATCATTTAGTTAAACATCTGGACGTTTAATTAAATTGTTTGGATATTTATAACATTAAACTATGCATTTTATTTAGTTATGGGAAAATCTGAAGGGCAGCCAGATAGTTGGCATGGTCATGTAACTGCATTAACTGTTGCTCCAGAATTCAGGAGACTAGGTGTTGCCGGTGTTTTAATGAATTGGTTAGAAGAAATTTCGGAAAAGTAAATTTTTATTATACATTTTATTTACATTTTCYAATACTATAATAATTTTCAGAAAAGATGCATGGTTTGTTGATYTATATGTGCGTGTTAGCAATACAGTTGCTATATCAATGTACAAGAGTTTAGGATATACAGTGTATCGTACCGTATTAGAATATTATTCAGGTGATCCCGATGAAGATGCATATGGTAAATACTTTTATTTGCTATAGAATTTATGAAAACGAAAATATTAAAAATAATCTGTATTTTYAGATATGAGAAAAGCACTTAAGAGAGATGTTGAGAAAAAATCAATTATACCTCTAGAACATCCAGTAAGATTAGACGACTGTGATTAAAATATGAATATTGTTACATGCTCATCACAATGGTTTACCTGATATTRATTTGTAAAAAAAACAAAAATGATTTTGTAATTTTGAATTAAATCATTAAATGTTTTATAATAAATCACTAGAAAAATAAATTTGTCTACAATCATATTAACTTTAACTAGGTTATTAATAATATAATATTGCATACATTTTTATTCCATAAATATGATAAAAAAATATTTTTTGTCATGTAGTGCAGACTGCGAATTTATTTGTTGGGCTCGYATAAAGCATTAKAAAATGATCTTTTACAATGCAGTGGAGCATAAATGCTTTTTCTGGTAGAAAAATCATTGTCTGAATCAAATAAATACATTTTATTATATATGAACCTATCGTCACATTTCGTCCAATATATAAAATACTTGATATTGATTATTCCCAACGTCTCTTACTGTTCTATGAAAAAGTCAAGCTAGTTTAAGCCATTGAAAATGGTTAAAATATTTGGTTATCGTAAATACCATATAAC